CAAATTCTTATATATTAACTTAATTATTAAGTTTATATTAATAAATTTTTCTTTATAAAATTTTTGCTAAAAATGTTTACGTCTTAAACAATTAAATATTTTAATTCTGATGCAGTTGAGACTGAACAAAATTTCTAATAACATCCATAGTTTGAATAATCTAAGAATCTGCTACTTAAAAATGGAAAGCGGGCTTTCCGTAAATTGGTGGAATTGTAGATTCAAATGTGAACGTTCAAAATTTAAGAAATCATTGTTTTGATGATTTTGATGAATTTTGGATGATTAGGAATTCGCGGAAATATTATATTCTGCCTACAAAAATTCCCTTGCCTATCATTCGTCTCGAAGATTTATCATTTATTTACATATTCGCAAATAATATAATGCAATAAAACAAGAAACGCGTCTTTCCTTTCCTCTCTCTTTCTCTTTCTCTGCTTTAATTATTACTTATATCTTCGCAGCCGCCGCATCTTTTTCTGTAACTAACGCCCCCCGTTTTCTTCTTCCTCTCGCTTGCAGAGCCGTCGATACCGCGCATGATTATGCCCAGGAACCTGCAGCAACAGTTCTATTCGCCGATGATGTCGATCAAGGATCTAACGCTCTGGATGGCCAAGCAGAGCGGCGGGAATATGATGTTCCCGTATCTTTGTGAGAGATGCGGCAAGGGTTACCAGCATCGCGGCACCTTGCTAAGACACACGCGACACGAGTGCGGCATGGAGCCGCAATTCAAGTGCCCGTATTGCGCCCATAGGACGAAACAACGCGGCAATCTGTATCAGCATATCCGCACCAATCATCCCGGGAAGAATGTCTTCTCCAGCAACATCTAGTGCTCGTAAATGTCGCACGCGCACGTCACCACTTTGGCGGTCTTCCTGGATTATCCGATTTCTATTTTTTACCCGGCGACTTTTTATACGCGCGAATTAATGTGGACCGAGGAGACAGTTGTAGTTACCATTGAGATTAAATTATATTACGGATATTGCGTGAATGTGTGAATTTGAAACATGTAATGAGTATGTCAATTGCGTAAATGCTTCTTTAATTAGTTTACTAGTTACTAATTTTTTTTTTTTTTTGGTCAGTGACACTTCCCTACGGAGGTGTTTTAGATTATCTATCAATATATTAATCGTAAGCGTGTTGATGCGTTAGTGCATCTAACTGGATTCGTCAATAGGGCGATTGAAAGGACGATTTTGTACTCGAGTCACATATTTTGGTTTTCGAACTGATTGAGGCTTCAATGTCTCGATGCAAAATCCACCTCGTTTTTGTTTCTTCTTTTTTTTTTATACATTATACTCAACATCACTGTTCATGAATTTGTAAATACTTGCCAAATTTTACAATAAATGAATTGGATCATTTTTTCCATGTACTTATATATGAATAATCCTGCATGAATCCAATTATTGTATTACAGGAGCGTGCAACGCGTGCCCAGCACGCAGACTGCCAAAGCTAAAGGCAGCTGAAGCCTTTGAATTATACGTGGACGTACTGTAAATGCGATAAAATTGCAGCTTCTTGAATGTTGATGACAGGGCCTTTAGCTAAAGTTGTTTTTCTTTACATCTATTAATACATTCTTGCACGATTTCCTTGTTTGACGTTTTTTTTCAGTCAAGGATATCTAGATAAATAAGTATATATGCTCACTTCCAGAACGGCGAAATTATTTTTGCACGCGGGCAGCCAACTTTTTTGTCTCTGACTGTATAACGTGAAGCGATAGCTGTTTATATTTGTAAAAACATGCTCTACGGCATTTGTTAAAAACTATTTAGCAATTTTTCATTTGTTAACAATCTTTTTACAGAACAAAGATGCTTAATTAGTGTTAATTAAAATGAATGAAAAAAATTTTGTGTTCGATTTAGTGCTATGTTTCTTGTGTCAATTGTTATTCGACATATATTCCTCATAAATAAATTGCATAAACTTGATAAAAAAAAATAAACTAGCCATAACGATATATTAGACTTAAAAAAAATAGATAAAGACGCCGCAGCATCCCGTGTTCTCTTTGCGATCAATTTTTAAAAGTCTCCATGAGTTGGATTCGGTCTGCCATTGAAATTTATTCACCTCGAAATCTCCGTGACCACTTATTAACCGTAGCATTTTATCTTCTTTCAGGGATGATAGCATGGCAAAGTATCCACCAGCATTACCAGATGACTAGTCAGAACAAAATTCCGCGCCGTTTCAATTGCGCGGAATTTGACCCGAAGACCTCCGAATTAAAATTTCCCAGTTACCTCGACAAGAAACCGGGTTTATTCGAGTGTCCGAACTGCGGCAAGTATTACCGCTGGCTGAGGAACATGAGGAGCCACCTGAAGATCGAATGCGGCAAGGATCCGAAGGAGTGTTGCCCTTATTGCTCCCACCGCACCAAGTACAAGAGCAGTCTGCACAAACACATCCAGAGAATGCATCCGGAGAATGCATCCAGAGAATAATTTCGTACAATTTTACGAAACATTGTTTTCCTTTTTTTTTTTTTCGTTAATTATTTATTGTTGCATAATCGATCCCTAATTATTAAAGACGAATTATCCCTGCACTAATTATTAACCGCATATATATTTGGTGAGGCAAAAACAATGAAAATTAATTCATCGTATAATTTATCTTTGTAAATTATTATTTATTAAATAAACTGACTGTGTTATGAAGTCGTTTGACAAGCATCGACTCGAATGTTGTTGATATTAAATCGTAATTATTGTAAATCTAGTTAATCGAAATGGAAATTATATTAAATGGTTCGCTGATAGAGTTTGAGCATTCTTTGCGTTTCGTTCACTGCCCCTGTAAACTCCTATAAACCACGATCGATTGCGGAATCATCTTATGGTTAACCGCTATTTGATGATGATATTTTCAGGCTTGATTTATCGGTGTTACAGAAGCGGACAGTTGGCTGAAGTGTCTGAGAAAACGTATGCACACCGAACGCGGTTTATCAGTAACAATGTAAGATAACAATACTCGTATTGTTGGCAGAAATCGAACCAAAAGAAGAATATGGTGTTACACATCAAGAAGAAGCATTTATCCTTCATAAATAAAATCTGCGATTTTTTTAACCCCTTTATACGTGATATTTTTATTACAATTATATAGGGTGGATCTAAAAGATTCCTATAGTGATTAAAATTTTGCCAAATAGATTTTATTTTTATCTGCTTTTCTTTCTTAAGTATAAATTTATTTTGAATGTATGTGCTTAGTTTATAATTAATTTATTAATCTATTATAAGAAAATTAAATAACTTGATTAGAAATTCTAGGTCAGATCCACGCGCAATCAAAATTAAAATGATTTTATTTCAATTTTCTGCCAGAGAAATTCGTGTCTTGATGAAATAAATTATTAATTCAACTTCGGAAGTTTAACTTATTTATCACATATTTATGTGAGAGGCTTTAGTTTGTCGGTAGGATCAATTCATGAAATTAGCACCTTACGAAAAATTCATCGCAATTTCATCGTTAATAATAGTAATAGTCACTTAATGCATTAAACACATTCGTTTTAATTTTCACCTCATTATATTCGCCTTCTCATGCTCTATTAAGCACACAACTTTATCGTCACACATTTGCTAAAAATCATCAAGCACATATTTTGTAACATTCTCCAAGTAAAAATTAGAAAAGAAAGTAGAGGAATCTGTGGATTAATCCGTAGATCTCGTACGTATATTATTTGCAGCAGCTGAAATATTCTTCTGTATCTAATTGTGTTAAGACATAATATACATGCGAGATCCATGGATTTCCCAACATTTCGCGGAAAATTTGATTTCGAGAGGAAAGAAGGAGTCAGGTCCACATAAATTCATCACGATTACAACAGTAACGTTTCTTGTGTAAAAATGCTTCAGAGACATGTCTCGTCACACGCTGTAACTAATTGTGAGATCGCGTCCTCAAAGCACTCTGCGGATAGAAAGACACTCGCTGGAAAGCATCCTCGTTCTCATCGTGGGGGAATTCTTCGATTAACGCGTGCAACTGCGAAGCCGTTTCCTCGCTGACTAGTATTTCTGTTGCAGGTGTCAAGTACGTGTGCCAATGGTGCGGACGAAACTTCTCGTGGCCGTCGAGTCTACGTCTACATCAGAAAATGGCGTGCGGTAAACCGCCGAATTTCTACTGCACCGTTTGCGAGTACAAATCGAACTTCAAGGGCAACCTCAAGAGGCATCTATTTTGCAAGCACAATATAGATTTGTATTGACACGCGTTCGACTAGACGCACGATGCGTTTTTTTTTTTTAACAAAAGGCCAACGCTTATCTTCCTCAAAAGAAGAAAAAGAAAATTGTGTCTGTAATAAAATATATTTGCTGCAACATGTCCTATATATAATAATCTTCCTTTTGATCCTTTAATTTCCTTCCGGTTGCAGATGTTCATCATGTAATTGAACGCGTTGGTTTTCTCGCGGGTAACTTCTGTTTCAGGTCATAGGTAACGAAAAGTGCCGATGCGAGAACGAACGAAGTAAGTACGTATGCACCAGAAAGGTAATCGCACGTGTGTTAGTTTTCTGCCTCGAGATCGAAGAAGCGCTTTTCGAGACGATCGCGACCGTGCGCGGGTCTCTCCGCGAGAATCAGACGTTTTCTCGCTATCGTAACTTCGTTTGCGATTTCGGATCACAAAAGAAAAATCCGAAGAGACGTTTCGCGTGCGAAACGTTCGTACGCGACGCTCGAAAAGCGCCGTCTCGCTAGATGGATCGTTCCGAGGATGTCTTCGCGGAGGATTCATTCCCGACTCGCTCAAGGCATGCGCTTCGATGTATAGAGACTATTTTGATTACGTTCGACGCTTGTTACGCTCGTTCGATTCCGGGGGGGGTCTCACGGGTTCGTTCCCCCCTCTCATCCCGTTATCGGGAGGATGAGACCCGATCCTTTCGTAGTCTTCGTGATCGCGCTCTAACGGCTGCTTCTCTTTTTCAGATGCGCCCCTCTTTCCGATCGTGAGGCCGCGGCTGCACGTGTGCCCTCGCTGCGGCCAGATGTACTCGTGGGCGTCGAACCTGCGGAAACACCTGAAGATGGGCTGCGGCATGGTCACCTTCGAGACGCACTTCTCCTGCCAGTACTGCCCGTACAGATCGAGGATCGAGGCGAGCTTCCTCAAGCACCTACTCTCGGTGCACAATATCAAGTAGACGTCGCGCCACGGCGACACCCCCGGGTATCTCGCCGAGCGGCGTCTTCGATTCTTCCGTAATCGCGACGTCTCCGCGAAAAATTCGTCCGAGACTCCTCTCGCGATCGGAATCGACGAGAGGCCCAACGATCTCGATGATTCGTTCGCAGGAGAAAGAGCCTCGTCACGGTCTCCTTGAGTCAGATAATCCTGGTAGTCGGATAATATCGTACGCCCTGCGGAACTGTCCTCCCGTAGCTTCCCACGCTATCGTTCGTAATCCGAATAGGAAGCTCGCGTGTATTCGAGCGAAAGCTGGCTGGCGTTGCTTTCTCGACGAGGAGCTGAAATATTATACGAGCTCGCAGCGTGCGCAGCGTTCACGTCCCCCGATTGCTAATTTGAAGCTTATCGGAGCGTTCGACTCTCTCGAAAAAAACGTAAGACGTCGTATGTAGTTGTAATATGACACGTCATATCAATGATCTGTATGGTCTAACAATAAGTGTCGTACTATAGACTCTGTGTGATGTCGTCATTGACGTTCGAGACTCCGCGAGAGCGATTCTTCGACTGTTTTTAGCTTTATATAAGTTGCGATCGCGACGTTTCGCCGAACTTAAACTCTCGGAGAGATTATTTTATTTCAGACTATCTTAGGTCCTAAACACGTGGAAGCTAGCTTCTTTCATTTGCAGAAAATGTTCGACGTGAGGAAAGTAACTTCGTAGACGTGTACTTACATTTTAATTGAGTGAACAAAATCTAGTCTAAAGGCTGTTTCTTTCGTAAGATTTCAGACTCATTTCGAGCCTGCGGTTCGAAGATAATAATATGGATGTTTTTATACATGTGTTTTAGCAACACTGAGTACATCTCTTTAAGTACTTTGCTTAATATTAAGTAAACCGTGCAATTATAATTACACACACTACGTTCTGATTTTCATTGAAAAAAAGGTCCAAGTATATTCGCATCAAGAGTGATCGAAATTTTTTGCCAGTTTCTTCCAAAAACACTTCGCTCGAAATTATTTATTAATCATATTTCAGCTTGGGAACCCAAGCTTAAGCTCCAATTTTAGCGAAAGATCTTTGTTTCCTTTTATAGGAATCTTCGTAACGAATGTTTCTGTCTTGGCAGAAATTTTTCTACCTACGCGCATCTCTCTGTCGAAGAAAACGCCTTTCCGTTCACTGTTGGTGCGATCAATAATATCAGAAATTGTCACTCCCAATTCGTAACTTCAATATCACGCGTACGTTATGCGCGCGCGTGCGTGCGGTATGTGTGTGTGTGTATGAATATGTGTGCAGAGAGTGTGGCAGGAAAGTCTGATTACTACGAGACGTTAATGGTCACGTAACTATAAGTATAGCCGCCGGAAGATGTCGGAGGACGGCGAAATCATCGAAGACTACGTAATGATCTTAAAAAAAAAGTCAAACCTATAGGATTTAAGGATAAGCGATAAACTTAAGAGGATGTCGATGGAGTCGTTTTTTAACGCGATTAGTAATACGCCCTTGTACCGTGCGATTATCGTGCATTATAGAGACTGCTCGAGTATAGTGCAATTTGACTGTAAATTACGCTAGCTCTCTCCAACTACACACTTAGCCATGTGGCGTAGCGGACTTTAGACGACAGTTACTTACATTTATCGACGTATCGGCAATTAAGCGTATCCCACAACCAGCCAGTTATTTCATTTACGACTATGTAACCGTGATTAGGGATAAGCATGCATCCGCGGCCTCTTTTACAATATACACACACAGACTTCAATTAACTTTAATGAGCATTGAACTTTTCCTTTTAGGGCCTTGTAACGCACGACGTTATCCATCCTGTTTTCATCTTACCGGTTTTTTTTTTACATCGTGCAAGTTACAGTGAGATGAGAACAAAAGATATTATGTATAGATCGTAGGTGAATTATTATCAGATACTCGAAGCGCTACTCGTATCGTCCCATTAATCACTTAAACGCATTAGTCATTTATCCAAATTCGAAACGCTAACTTCGACATTTCATAACATAGGAACGAAATAATATTTCGACGTGAGAAAACGAGTCTGAGCTGATTAAATGTAACGAAGCCTACACGGGAGCCTCGTAAACAGAAGAAGGTACAGAAGTTTCGGAAGCTGCATATCGAGAGACGCATCCTAACGGAATCGGAATCCACCTAATCGCTCCGAGTGAGGGAATTTGTATCGATGCTCGTTACAAGGAAAAAAAAATTATTATTATCGCGAAGTTTCTTACTGCGTAACGTGAATGATAACGTACATTCGGCAGATGACGATGTTAGAGTGACGATAACGATGTGAACCACCTGTCTACGAGACGCACCGCTAATGTACTTTATCCAATCGATAGATCAGTAGATCGATAGATCGGTGAAGCCACATGTCGCGTCGGCTGCGCTACGCAGCGATTAAGTGTTTGTGTAACGATGTTTCGCATTCGTTTGCTTTCTAAATAAATACCTGTGTACATATTCGCAGTCACGAGAATATTCTTCGAACTGCATCCTTTCGTCTTCTTATTTTTCACGTTCGATAAATTATTTTTCACCATCACTTTCAGGATCAAAATGCAGGTTGCATTTATTTTATTTTTCTACAAAAAATTTTTTCCCCTGTCTTTTAAAAATTTTTGTCTTTATACAATGTTATTTTTCTCATTTACGATTATAATTATCATTGTAAGGTTTAAGCTTTAATTTTAAGCGAATTTGCCGTAATCTGTGAACTTTATTATTTATTTTGCTCAGCGTTTTTAATTATCGTTAACTATTATATAAATCATCACGAGAGATCAAAAGTTAAATTAACAAAAATTTTAAGTTATTCGTTCAACTTTTCATCACGCGAATTGCTATATGTATAGCTTTCATATTACTCTCCGCTTTTCTATTAATGAACACGCGAATTATAACGATGATGATATGTCTTCTTTTTTGGTTATTGTTTAACAGCTTCGGGTGATAACAAGAAATTAGGGTGAACAAAGACAGCGCAGTAGTTCCAGTTTTTATCCACGGGTATGAGATGTATTCTGAGGATGTCCTTGTTCATCGCATGCTGCTTAAATGTAAATTGTTTTAAGTAAAACAGATCGCGTCTGGGAACGCACACAAATGCTCTTAACAACTCGGTTGTCTTTAACGCGTACATGACGAGCTGGCTTTTGTGTTTCAGGTTCGCTTGTCTGGGAGGAATATCAGGTGCTGCCAGGTACGAACACGGCCAGCAGGACCAGCGACTATGTCGAACGCAAGTACAGGTTCAAGCAAATCCACGCCACCGGTAGGTACAAGTGCTCCAAATGCGGGAAGTCGTACCGATGGAAACATCATCTCGTGGAGCACGTCAAGGCTTCCTGCGGCCAGAAGAAGGCTGAGTGCTGCCCGTTCTGCAGTTACAAGAGCAACCGCAAGTGGAATCTTAAGTCGCACATGAAGAGGATCCATGCGAGCGTATAATAAGAGATGACGGATTTACATTATTGGCTACGTTCTATTTAACGCTCGCAATGATCGCAAATATTACTTATCCTTGTAACATTTGATAAACAACAAGGATGAAATGATTCCAAGAGCATTGCGAGCGATAAGTGGAACGCACCCATTGGCGGATTACGAAATACATTATTGATTGGCAAATGTTTCACGATACATGTCTCCATTTCGATGTTCTTCAATAAAAACAATTGTTTATCTCACTCAGATCTGAAAGGCTATTGCTTGTTGCCCGGAATTACTTGACTCTATCGTTCGTATTTTTGTAATGGTGTTCCTGAAGTCAAATCCTTGAAGACGAGCTAGTTCCTCCAGACATTATCCATACATTTCTTTTAACAATCTCGAGTAAAAATGTTATATCTTTCTCTTTATTATATTTAATGTCTCTCTCGATTATTTAATATTCTATTTTACGATTTCATTCACTTGATTTTTCTCTGCGGACAGGAATATAAAAAAAGGAAATGAAAAGCCTGTCGAGTTCGTGTTCCATCCGAGTGTTGAATTCTTCTGAGTAGGTATGTGTACTTTATTCGCGTCTCTCTCATGTTTCAGGACCATTCATTTACGAGACACCATTTATTTACGAGACACGAAGTTTACGAAGTGCGGCAGGAGCGCGAACATTTACGCGCTTTCGAAACGATATTTCGGAACAAGTGAGGAGAGCCGTTGACGCTGTCGCCAATGGGATGACTTTGAGGAAGGCCGCGGAAATCTACTCCATATCCAAATCAGTTTTACATCGATATAGCAAACAGGGCATCCCGACACGAACGATCTACGCGAGAAAGTTTAGGGCGAATTTTTAATGGTCGAAAGAGAATACCGTGACTCTTTAATTGATATTGAAAAGCTTTTAAAAAAGTTTAATGTTATCAATATAATAGAAGATATATCAAATAATTTTCTTTTTCGATTGACTGAATGTCATTATTTACCATGTAATTATTTTCCCGCCTCTTATCCAGTGATACCGAATGTTAAATTTATATTGTTGTAGTGGTTATTGAATGTGTCTGATGTGTGAATAATAAGTATCAATAACATCATTGAAGAATATAGCGTCCTATTTATTTATCTTTAGTTGTAATCATTTCTAATAATGTTTTATCAATAGTGTGAAGAAAATATCACAACCCAACAATCTGTTTAAGTTTCTTATTTGATTAATATTTTTTTTATTATTATGAAATAACAGCTGACAACGAATTTTGGAAAATAAAGATATGTATAACTTTTCTTTAAAGATTAATATAATTTTGCAATTATTATATTCTTTATTCAGTGATGTTATTGATAAGATTGTTCATAATAAAGTGAATAAAATTACACTAACATTGAATATGGAAAAACTTTAATAAAAATTACGGTTATCAAGTTTTTGTTTCTATGTTGTCCACTGTTTCATCCTCGTATATAGCATGTATTTCTGTTTTCTGTTGTCTATTTAGAAAATTATTATGTTAACAAGATTACAAAAATTAAGAAAACCGATAAAAACTTTAACTTTTACGACAAAATACGCAAACACATAGGAGATAAATATATACATATATGAATACTAGATATCTAATTCTTCTATTTAATTTTTTCTTCCTTATTCTTTTCTTGATGATCAACTATTTCAAAGTAACTTTTTATTTTTATTACAGTATTTTTTTATTACAATTTATTTCAAGCAAAATTGACTGTTTTTAAAATTATTAATAATTTACTGTTAGAATATTTATATATTAAATATTTATACAGGTTAAAAACAAGGTGAAACAGACTATCCAACTATTGATTCATCAAGAAAAAGTTTACTGACAATTTTAATAATTATTCGAGAAAATGTGCGAATCAATTAGTAAGAATCTTTATTAATTATTGTGAATGTATTTGTTGCAGAAAGACCGTTGAACTGTCCATTATGCAATAAAAAGTTTAAAAAACAACAGTCTCGATATCAACACATGAAGAAATGCAAAGAGAGTTCCCGGATACCACCTGAATTCATGTGCGGATATTGCCCTTATCAAACTGGGTTGAAGAGCAAGCTTATTAATCATATTAATTGCCATATTAATGATCTTAAGTATCCCAGTACTTCTCTGCCCAATATGCCTTTGCAGTTTTATCGCTTAAAATTCGTGTTTTCGTCTACTGATTCTGAATAATTTCAATTCAATTTGTATTTTATTTGACGAATGTGTTCAATTTTAATGACCGCTGCGACAATTCGTATTCGTCAAAGTCGAAACTACTTGATAGCGATGTTCACGAAATATATTCACCGATTATAAAATGATTGACGGAACTACTTACATAGTTTGACGGAATTACTTAACATCTGAAAAATATAACTTGTTATATTTTTCAGTCTTTAATCGATATTTGCGGAACTAATAATGAAGTTAGTATTAATAGTATTAATTTTTCTTTTAGAAGTCTTCAAACAATAGTATTAATAGTATTAATTTTTCTTACAGAAGTCTTTAAACAATTCTGTTGTACAAATATTCGAATTGCTTCGAGAAATGTTATTTGAAATCGAAAATTTTTGACGGTTTTGAAAAATCTAGAATAGTTTCGAGTGTCTAGAAAATCTTGGAGAATGTTTAAATATTCAAAAAATGTTTAAAATTCTAGAAGAGCAAAATTATTATCTATATCTCAGTGAGATCATGAGATAATGTAAAATTAATGTAACAATTTTATAAAAATAAAAATATATTGTATAATTTTTACATAATATGTGTATATATAATATACATATATAACGTAATATACATAAATATATTTTCTATTATATCAAGAGCAATATATTTTCCAAGATATTCAAATAACTTTTGTCATATTCAAGATTTTTCAAATATTTTTCAACAAGTTTTTGGTTTTGAATAATATTCAGAATGACTCGATGTATCTCGGACCAATCATTTTTCTTTATTCGGGACAACGATTATAAATGTGTGATCTGAATGAATCAAAGTAATTTACCGCGCAATTAATTATTAAGGTATTTATATATGGCGCTAAATACATCGTTCTTCTGCAAGACTTTATGTTTATCTTTTTTCATTTTCCTTCACTGTACATACGAAACTAACTGTGATGTAATTGAGAAATAATGTCCGTGCAAAATTCGCGCGAGATTTGTAACTTGGCATGAAATGCATCTCCAACCAAGTACGCTTGTGAGAGTATGTGCAGATAGGGTGACGTTTTTGTTTTAAACGCGACACGTACTTCCCTTTGGGCAGTTTAAGTTACGAGAGATTGACGTGTAGACTCAGCTAGACCCTAGACATCGTCGATAGAAAGAGTCTACTCTTCTCTATCCGCACGCTATGCACGAATTCGCGAAGACGGAAGAGTCGGCCGCGTCCACGAACGATGCTCTCTAATCGGGTGCCTCTGTGTTCTTTCATTTTCCAGATGGGCGCACGGTGGGTTATCTGAATTGCCAGAGGGTGACGTACCCCTGCAGGAATTGCGGCAAGGTCTATAGCTACTACTCCAGCCTGGCCAGGCATCTCAAGCACGAGTGCGGCGTGGAGCCCAAGTTCCACTGTCCTTTGTGCCCTTACAGGACGAAGCACAAGTCGAGCCTGAACACTCACCTGAACGGCAGGCATATGAAGCTGTTGAACGATTTTTATACCTTGCCCAATGGCAACAAGACATCTTCAACGGACGCCGGAAATTGAATCGTATCTGAGTCCGCAAACGCATGAGCTATTTGATACACGTGCGATGTTCTTTACCAGATAATTCAGAATTTGTGCTATTTATGCGTTGACTAAGGGGCTTGATTTTTTTTATAATTACGATACTAATTGCAGTATTAAGTCTATATAATGTTACATAATTATATTCAAAATTTATATTCAATAAATTTATTATATAAATTATATAAATATTTATTATGTAAATTCATTATATTATATTTGTCACATTGCGTTAAAAAATAATTTTTAGTGCAATAATAATGA